GGAATTTTCAGAAAATACTGCTAACACATGTTCAGCTTAAAATTATCAAATTCAGCTCCCGAGCATTCGTGGTTTTCACATGCGACCCCGTAAAAGGTTTTTGGCGCGGAAATGGCTAACTCGAGAACCGGGAAAGCTAGGGAGCTGAAATTTTCAGGGAATGTTCCCAGCCCATGTACGACTTAAACTCAGCCCTCGGGCGTACATGGTGTCACATTCGGCCCTGTGAAAATTTTTGGCAGGAAAATTACCAACTCAAGAACCAGAAAATTTGGAAAATTGAAATTTCAGCGAATTGTTCCCCGTCTACACTTCCGGATTTCGAGAACCAGCATATCACACATTTCTGGCTACTGGGTTCCAAGCGACCTCATTACAGCATGAAATGTTGCAAAAACGCATGATCGCACGAGCCCGCCCAGTGCACGTCGCCAGTGATTTTTTGCCCTTTCAGTCAAATTTCGCAGGTGTTTATAGTCTTTTCATGTTCTCCTTGCTTTTTGGGAAAAATCTGCGCCTTCCAGCCAAATTTTGCCATTCTCGGCCAATTTTTTTGTGCAGGTTAAACACCGTTCTTTTCTGCATTCCTTCTCTCTAACTTAATGAGGCTTTGTTCTGAATATCGATGGAGTTATGGATTGAATTGTCTCTTTTTAGGTGCAGACACAGTCTGTGTTTAAACCGCAGCCCTCATATACCTCGTCTTTGAGTAGCCACCTGGCGAAACCAGCATCAGCACCAGCAGCTGCAGAGCTTGGTAGTCCAGGAGGTGGCGTGTCGAGTCAAAATTCTCATCTTGCATATCCGCCACCAACCAGCACTTCAGCTTTCGAAACAGCTGTCAGTTCATTGATGGCCAGCGAGGACTACAGAACTTATGCGCAGATTTTACTGAGTGCTTATTTCTATCAGCAGGTTTGTTGCTTTTTTTTTATCCCAAAATTTACCATGTTTTTTGTTGATTCACTTTTTTGAATGACATATAGCAAATGTCGTTTTCCATTCAGATGAAACAGCTGCATGTTGCCGTTTGCGTTTCTGCACGGTTTCTACAGGAGTAAATTCGTTAGCGGTACGAGCAGTCACTGCTCAATAATTTAACGTGTACAGTCATGTTGGAAATGTTCTTATTGGTCTTTTCTTAATCGTAAGAGAAGGGGAGTGAAGCGTTGGCTGGGATGATAGTAGGGCGTCGTGGGGTTTTTAGCATGCATGATTGCCGTGAGGGAAGGATGCCAACAGTTTTACAACCTAAGATTTGTCCGTAAGCAGGACATCAGCATTCATAAAAGCCGATGTAATATTTTCAGTGCCGCAGGGATATGCCACCATTTTTGTGAAATTTCATCCTTTTTTTGCCCATATTTTACCGATAAAGAAGTACGAAGACAGTGTTCCAATTTGAACGTTTGATGTGTCCATGCGTAAGCAGAAGTTCTTTTTACGTTTGTACGTCCGCAATAGGACAGTACATACCAAGAATACTAAGGCCATCAAGCTGTCGTTGCGGGTACTCCGGCGTGGTGATCTTTACTGGGGCGTTCCCACTCGTCGAGCGCAGCTACACCAGGTCCTTAAGTTATGGGCTGTATTCCTCCAGTTAGTATGCATCACCTGTTCAGTGTAAATGCTCTACCTTTTTGGAGTCGTGTGAGCGATCGTTTGCTTTCTCGCAGGTACCACTCGGACAAGTAAGTCATGAAAATGAAGCTTCCAGCTCATTCTGGATATGGATTTCGAATTTGATACTAACATTGTCCCAAATTATTTGCCCGCGCATAGACAGAACATAGGCTCTTGGCGCCAAAAATTAAAAGAATCTCGGCCAGAAAACGATATCGAAAAGCAGACAAGATGAAAAACGGGAATTTTACGAAAATGCTTTCTGTCCAGGTGCGAATCAGAAGCTTTAAATCCAGCTTTCTCGTTAATTAAAAATTCAGGATGGGATGTTGCTAATGCGATTTTAACTCGTGAACGAGTAGTTTGGCGTGGTTGTTTGTTCTCGTGTGGGCTGCACGTGCAAAATGAGTACCTGTGCCTCGCGCTCGGATGCGTCAAATGTTCATTTTGCAAAACTCTTGGTGCCCTTCTCATTAGGCTAGAAAGTTAAAATTTTCCGGTAGTTAACTGCCTTCAAGGCGATTTCAAAAGTATGAAGTCTTCGTCCATATTGGCATTCTTCAAATTCGATGACCAAACGCAATAAAAAGCTGCGCTTTTACGCATATGCTTGCTGTTCATGTACTGGCCCGCAAGAATAAAATGGACTTCGTCTACGTTTACGTCCCGTTTGCCGACAAGCAAAACTGCACATGCAAAATCGTCAGCTCCTCTCCTGGATAATCAAACGTGCTAGAAAGCCTCACAGTTCAGTTGACGGCTCTTTTCCCCTGAATATGGAAGAAAAAAACCTAGTGGAAAACGCACCGACTGCCAGTGCGAAGATGCATTTTTTGCACAGTTCCCCTGCAGGTTTTTGTTGCTAATGGCACTGTTTTTCCCCACAGATGCTTTTAACTAAGAAAATTGTGAGTAACCACCACGATTGTTAGAAGTTATTGCGATTTCTAATCCATGCCCAGAAAACGCAGCACTCTAGACGCTTCGATTCCGGAGTTACGTCAAATTTCACGTTTTCGTACGTGAGTGGCATGAATGCTTTCTTCGCGTGCGTTTGTTCACGCACGGTCCTGGGTAACGCTCAAAAAGTCTTGGCACTGCAGCTGGTTTGGTTGCGGGGTTACGTCAAATTTCGCGTGTTCTTGCGTGAGTGGCAACGTGAGTGTTTTTTTTTGCGTGTGGTTGCTCAAACACGGTTCTGGGTAACGCTCAGAAGATTTCAGCGCTCTAGCTGTTTTGGTTGCGAAGTTACACTAAATCTTACGTGTGTGCGCATAAGACGTACGCGAGACGTGAAAGTGATGTGCAGTTCGTTTTTGCGTCCATCTGTTCAAAGGCCACCATCGGTTGTGCTCAAAAAGTTCAAGTCCTCTAGCTGCTTCAATTATGAAGTTACAAAAGTGCCTATGTAAAATTCTCATGTGTCCGTGCGTGAGATGCAGAGGGGTTGGAAAACACAGTTTGCTTTCACAGACGCGTCATTGGGCGACAAGCAATGCAGCAAAATTGCAGCTCCCTACAACTCATTGGTCAATTTAAATCTGGAGTTGGCACGATGCCAGTTTAGACTGACATGAGCGTATGTGAGGTTTAGGGGTGCGTGAATGCTGAATTTGAGATCTGTAGATCAGATGCGGCAAAGGAACACCTCTGTGAAGCTCTAACCTCCTAGCTTGCGCCGTTCTTGAAAACGCTCTCCCGCCAGAAAACTTTCACGTGGCCTTACGTGAGAACCACGTGGAACTGGGTGTCCATTTTGAGGATAAGACCCCGCGCGTATTTATAGATTAAGATACCAAAATTTCAGCCTCGTAGCTTTTGTGGATCTCAAGATGAAAAGTCGTTACAAACGTACACACACACACACACACTTACATACATACGTACATACATACACACGGAGACAACATGCGTTTTTGCATTGCATAAATGCAAAAAACCTATAAAAACTAGCAGGAACATTTCGACATGAGTGCATAAACAAAACTATGAAGTAGTGAATATTTATGTGGTTAGCGATCGTGTTGCTGTACGGAATTGCTAAAAAATGCATGACTGCATTGACAATCTAAATGTGGGCAGCTATTCAATGTACCTTTTTTTTGACTTTTTCTTTCTACTTTGAACGATTCTGTATTATTTTGTAGCAATAGCCAGCATCACCTTTCAGCTGAGCAGGCTGTTCTCGGTCATCTTCACAGATCAACTTACTTCCAGGGTCTGATATCATCACTGCAGCAGTTATCCGATCTGTCTAATCGACTAGATCCTGCAGCAATAGCAGCATTGCCAAATGCCTTATTCGGCAACAAAGCTCCATTTGTAAACGGGATGCTGTCGAATCCGTCACTCATTTCATCGCAGATGCCAGTTATCAGTTCTCTCACGTCTACGGCTATAAAGTTGGCTACTATTGGCCTCGTACCCAATTTACTACCTCTTTCTGCTTTAATTGGTACCACAACGATTAATCCTCTGATTAGCACCGAACATATGTCTGCTCCGAAGGTGTCGGTTTCGCCAACAAGTGTTGCTTCAGTCACGCTCCCCAGTTCCAGCTCTCTACCATTTCCAGTCAAGACTGAGGCCCAAACAACATTCATGTTCTCCTGATGGACAGCCCAGAAGCCCTTCAGGCAGATTCTGCATCAGTTGCTGGATACAGCAGTCGCATTAGTAGGCAACTACCAAAGCGGAAAAATGATGCAGAATCTTCAGGCAGATTCTGCATCAGTTGCAAAATAGAGCAGTCGCTTTAGTAAGCAACTGCCAAAGCGGAGAAATGCTGATCAGGTACCGTCAGCCGAAAAAAAAATTTGACTCTCGTTTCGTTTTTTGTTCATTCGCTAACTAACCCCCCTGTCTCTTATCTCCCCCGCCCGCTCCCTTTTCCCTTCCTCTCTTTCACTCCTCAGCAGCGAGTGAGTTTTTAAAATTGTAGTAACAGCCAGGGATTCCTGCAGTGTTTCTTGTCATGTATTGTATCTAGCAGGTGTTACTTATGCACTCAGGAATCGGAGCTGGAGTATTGTATCGTCGTCATGCTTGTCTCTCACTCCTCTATTTTTATTAAATCAGTCTAACTCATTTTTCTGGATCTCTTCGATTTGTCTGATTCGTGAGACTCGTCATTTTGTGTTTTTACTGCTTTGTTTCTCGTTGGAGCTCGCGCTTCGTTGCACTGTTCTTTGGGCATTGGGCGAAAATCGATTGGATCGCTCTGTTTTCCCGGAGCTGTGTTTTTACTAAGCTGTATTGAGTCTATATTGAGCTATATGGTTCAACCTTGTTTTCTTATTCCGGTTATATCATCGAAATTGCGGTGTCTCTCTCTTATTTTGATAAAAATTAATACTGGTATCTATTATTTTACATTTATATCTGGTGTACTTGTGAGATTTTTTCGCCATCGTGCTCTGTACTCCATAATGTCTCAGTGCCCCGTCAATGTTTTATCACAGTCTCTTTTAGGCATTGAATTAGTTTTCCGTTTTTAGTTTCCTTTCGATTTCTGCCGCAATCAACACAACGGATGGT